AACTCATTATTATTACCAATAGCATTTTCAAAAGAATTATAAAATTCCAAAAATAAACTAGGATCACCATAATATTTAGGAACTGAAATTTTAGGTAACCGAATGTTAGTTTTGTTTTCGACCTTTACGGCAGCAGTATGGTTACCAGGCAAATCATTTTCAATGCTCACTATCTGAGAATTTAAATTAAGTTTCTTTTTAGCCCTAAAAATACATAAACTCATTTTTTCATCATACTCTAACACAGTATTACATTCTTTCTCAATTTCAGACTCATCCCCTTTAAAACGATCCAATATTTTTTCATTAATTTCTTTCAACGCACACTGTTTAGAAGTAAGTAAAAACACATTTTCTTCTACCATATTCTTATCCCAAATGCCTTTTTTAATTTCAGGTTGTACAACAGTATTATTTTAGAAATAGCTGTTTCATAATTTTTCTAGTAGCTTTCAATTTAACAATATCGTCTGCCATAATAACAACAAAAGTAATTTTATTCTCTTACCTGTGAACGTTTATCTTGCCACGTTCAGTGCCAAGGAATAATTTTTCACTAACACAACAACACTGCATTCTAAATCAAAAACTGTTCGTGTGCAACTGTTGGGCGCCAAAAATATAAAATATTATAATAACTGTCAAGATTTCAAGTTATCCAGGCTCAAGAAACACTAATTCAATCAGACATAACATCAAGGTAAAAGAATATTATGAATCAGGTTTCAAAGCTGCCAAGTTTATTCACGTCTAACACACTTTCAACTGGCACTGCCAGATCCAAAGAACAAGAAGTATACATCATGAAAGATTTTCGCCCTCTTTGGCGATTAAAATATATTTCCTCATAAAATTTCTTACATATGGTTTTAATCTGGTAGAATGGTAGTTCCATTTCAGATACTTAATGATAACGATATTTTTTAGAAATTTCACAATACAGTGTTCTAAAGCAAGTCTCTTTCTTTCAGTGCCAAAAATCATTTGACAAAGTATGATTATACATTCCAGCTTAAACTGTACAGACAATATTTTTGTTGGTGGAGAAACTTTGGTTAAAACCCAATATTTTATACTAAATATATGAAATTATTCATTTACTCATACTTAATTTGCAAACTATTCATTTGAGTTCGTTACGTTAAGAAAATTGTTCCACTTGATCATGGAAAATCAAGGAAAATCACAAATTAAATGTTGAATTTCTGTGGGAACCTTATCAAAATGTCTTTCCTTATTTGAATTTGTGTCGTAATAAGATTCTTTCCATTATATAAATGTTAATATATAAATTTAATATAAATATAAATCAACTTAAATTATATAAATTTAAGTTGATTTAAGTTAACTTATATTGATATCTTTAGAAATAATGTGATATATATGAGAAAGGCTGTCTTTTCAATTGCGTTATTTATTTATTTATATGTATTGAACTAAATTGAGTAAGAAATAGGTCCTGATCAAAACGCTGCTTTATTTGATCAACTTTTAGCAACAACACTTACTGGCATGGTATCAAAAGATTATTGCTTCCAGGAAGATAATATAGTGTTTTTGCAAAGCAAATGCATTTTGTGTTAAGATCATTTTAGCAAAAATATTTTTTTCATCCCCTTCATACATGAAACTGGATGACATGAGAATCAGATTGTGAAGTTTGGCTTATTTGATTATGGCAATGCACCCAAGAGCCATTTGCTTAAGGGGAGACATGCCTTAAGGGGAGACATGCCCTACATATGGTGGGGAACTTCATTAGAGAAACTGGTTCATATACACATTACACATAGGTAAACCACGAAAACACGCATGCAGCCAACCTGTTCCCCAGGATTCAATCTCCGAACCTAATTACTAGTGTTCAGCCATTTTATCACTTGGCTGCTGGTGAACCCAGTTTGTGAAGGCATTGACAAAAAGTAATAATTAGTTTAAATACTTCTGTGAAAAGTTTCTTTCCTTATAAAACTCCCAGCTGAAAGAAGATTTTTACTATTACCAGAACTTAGAAAATTATATTAAATGAAACCTTTGAACTTGTCATGAATGAACTTAAAGACAGCTCAAATTATCTTAAAAAATATCACTAGCTATGTTTTTTGGTCCACAATTGGAACTCAAATTATATGGTTATAACCGAAGTACACTCCAGAACCATTTTATGTTAGTATTATTACATGTTGCCCCTCTAAAATTCTGAATTATTATGTCAAATAAAAAATAACAAATGTTTTTTTTACTAACAAAGGTAGTGCAGTTTTGTTTAAGAGTATTTCTTAACAACTGTATTATAATGCCTTTGGTAAATACATATAATGGTATAGTAACATTTTAAATTATTTAATATGTATAGATTTTATGCGTATGTCATTTTATTATCTGCTTTCTTATTTTTCAGTTTATTATCTATAGCAATCAGTAAATTTTCATTACAAATTGCAATGGCATTTATTTTCAGATTTTGGTATCCCCAAAACTATAAATTCAGTATACACTTTAAAAAAATTTTTTTTTGCAAAGTTTAATTTTACAGGCTTCTATTATCTTATCCTAGATTATCTCCATTTTTTCCAAAGATACTTTTGTACTAATACTTTTATGCAAGCCTTTATTTTACTGTATGGTTTCTGCCATTAACTTCACTTCAGAACTTAGATGAATTAACTCACTTAGCTCATTTGAATGAACCATCAGTAGAGAAACTTCAATATTATGTTAACTCGGTGGGTATCTTGAATGATACAATAATATTGAACTTCATTTGCCTTACACGGCAGTATTTAACATTTTATTGTCTTCCTGGGAGCAATAGTATTTTGATACCGTGCCAGTAAGTATTGTTGTTGCTAAATATTGATCATCTAAAACACATCAAGTTTCAACATACTTGAAGCATTTTTAATGCATGCTTATTTTCAGAACTGATGATAAATTATCTATCATTTTAGATAGACACCAGTGATGTCTAGTTCATTATTATTACATCCTTTACAAATAACAAATTTTCATCAATAACAGTTTAGTCACTGAGAATAGTTAATCAAAATTATTACATATGGTTCTATTTGAGTTACTATACACTGGTGTGCAAAAATTAAGACGGTTGTTTCAATATAACTTTGTACAAAAGCTTTCCAAATCAACACATTTAATACCGTAAGATCCCCAATACGTAAGGACATGAGTAATGTAAGCAACACTTACTAAAAGAGAAATCGGAGGGATAAAAAGAAGCTTTATTGAAAAAGTAGCATGGAGCGCAATGCGACTGAAGGCCGAAACATCCCTGTGACCGGTGTCCAGCAAGAAACATCCGGTCTTTAATAGGGGATATGATCTCTCCTGACTGCTAGGCAGGTTTCACAGCGTCTGCCCATGCTGAGAATGAGGGTGTCAATGAGTTGTTGAGGCATTGCTGCCATTCGTCTTGCAGCGCCAATCGAAGCTCCGGAATCGTTACTGGTGGTAAGGTACGAGCTGCCAAGCGTCTGCCTAGAAACTCCCATACATGCTCGATGGGATTGAGATCCGGAGATCGTGCCGGCCAATCCATACGTTCAATAACCTCACTCTCTAACAGCTGTTCGGCAGCTAGTGTGCGATGACATGGTGCATTGTCGTCCATGAAAAGGAACTGCGGACCCATAGCGCCTCTAAAAATACGCACATATGGAAGAAGAATCTCGTTACAATAATGAGTCCCGTTGACTGAGCCTGCATCGAAGATGTGAAGGTCTGTACGACTACCAAGCATGATGCCTCCCCAAACGAGAACAACCGCCACCTCCATACCTGTCCCTTTCAATGATGTTCGAGGGATGATTGCAGCTTCCCGATCTCTCCAGATGAGTATGCGATGAGAATCGCTACTCACTGAATCTGCTCTCATCTGTAAAGAGTACTCGTCCCCATTCATTGTCTCTCCAATTCCGGTGTTCCCGGCACCACAGAGAACACCTTCTCCGATGGGCAGACGTTAGAGGTACACACCGTACAGGGCGTCATGCAAACAGACCACTACCGTGCAGTCTTCTGGCCACGGTAAAACGTGATATCGGTCGTCCAGTCGCCTGTGTCGTGTGTCTAGCGATTTCTCCCGCTGTCTGCCGCCTGTTTCTTCTAGCCTGTAAGGCAATATACCGGTCATCTGCGGGTGTGGTTCCTCGTTGACGACCACTACTAAACCCCCAGATAGCTGTTCCTGTAGTTTGAAATTGTCTCCAAAGTCGTGAAACGGTGCTGTGAGCAATTCCGTACTCTGCAGCCACACTTGTCACACTGCGGCCTTCCTCCAAGTTCCCAATGATTCGACCTCGGGTAAAAGCATCCAGATGTCGTCTAACAGATTGATTATTCACCGTTTCTCGCTGAGGCAGCAACTCGGTGCGATTTTAACTGCTATACGGCGTGCAATCTCTTTGCCAGAAATACTGATCTTACACCGACAACATGTTTTATACTACTCATACACTCCCCCATTACATCTAGCTGCATATCTGCGCATGTGCTACCGTACATCACCTTACTTAATCTCCTGATTGGTCTTTCTGTCCGCTCTGCCTCTTCGTTCAGCTGATATGCTAATTTTTCGACTTCGTCCTTAATTTTTGCACACCAGTGTATATGTTATTACTTTTTATCACATTTTTTGCTGTATCATTATCATTACAGCTATTGCTATTGAGGTGTTCAGTTTTTTACAAATATAAGTTACACATGGAGATTTTTCTCTGTAGCATTTAAAGTCACTACAGTAATGTGCATGAAACTTTTAGGGAGACTTTTTAGTATGTTGAATCCATTATATTTGTGTATATCTTAGATATAAACTGAAAATGTTGAAAGATTTGTTCAATATGTGTGTTAATGTTTATGTTTTTCTTAATCCCTATTTTTAATAATTTATTCCTTCTTCCCTACCTTTTTTAAAGCAACTGTAATAACGTATATACTAAAAAATGCATTAATTATACTGTATTTTTTTTCTTTAATATTAGGCAATTGAGTCCAATATACACAAAGCTCTTCGAAAGTCTAATATTAGTGGCTATGAATATTTGCGCAATGTGGTTCATCTGCCATTTTATTTGCAAAATAGTGGTTTGCGTAGGGTGAAAGCTGCCCAGCAGGCTGCAATGTTATTTAATAAAAAATCTGGTAGTTACTGGAATGAAGATCGAGAATGTGACAGATCTGTTCCAGCTGTTGTAAGTTCAAGTTTAGTTTTTATCTACATTGTTAATACTGTTTACTTTCATGTTTTATTAATTTTTCTTCTCTATCTTAATCCAGTGTTTTTAAATATGTATACTAATTGTTAATAAATATATTTTTTCCCATATTTAGTTTTGCTATTTAATGATGATATTTATACCTGCATTTATGCATATATACTTTTGCAAAGGAACTGATTTTTTTTTTTTTTTTTTTTTTTTTTTTTTTTTTTTTTTTTTTTTTTTTTTAATTATAGAATGCCAAATGAAAATCAGATTTTTGACTCAAGGTAACTGAGATTTTGCTTGAAAAGGTCAACTTGAAATCTTAACAGATATTATCAAAAATAAATATAAATATAATAATAAATAATATCAAAAATATATATGTAGGATGGTTCTTGCTGTTGAAAGTGTCCAGCCATACCATATGTTAAATTTTGGTTTACCCCCACATTTGTCTTCAGTTGCATAATTTATATGTATTTTTAAATTCTGCTCTAGTTTACATATATTCATATGAATATAGATATGCAAAATTCTTTTTTGGATTTATCAAATATTTTTAAGGCTTCAAATCGTAAGGCTTCCAATTCAAGCATGTCTATTCCGGATGCCATTCGGAAAAGAGGCAAAGGAAATCAAAAGCTCAAAGCAAGTGAAAGTTTAGCCAGTAGCATTAGCAACTTACATCGGGTAGTAACTGGTGCTCAGGATCTCACAAAAGTGCTGCTGACAGATGATTATTTTAGTGATGTCAATCCACGTTCTATGAGGCGGTTGATGAATATTGTATATATAACAGGTATGTTTTACAAGCATATATATCTGTTAGGAATAGCATAAAGTATATAACAATTGCTGATTTTATTTAATGTTTAATTATTTTACTTGTAAATTGTTAAATATGTATAGCAAGTATTAGTCAAGGATTGAAGATATTGAAAGATTTTTTTTTTTCACATTTCAAGATTTATTTATTTAGCATAATCATACATATATGTTTAATAATTAAAAAACTATTATTAAATTTTTATTATTTAGTCATGTAATGCAGTTTTATAACATCCTTTAAAAGAGAAGATTAAATGATGCAGGAAAGGGATCTAGTACAGTACAAAGTCCAAGATCAGAACTTGTTGGGACTTCCGTGATTCCAGATTTGGGATTTTTCAGGATATTACATCATCAGTTTAAATCTAGTAAGATGGCATGTAGAAGTAATAAAATTAAAAATATGAAGTCGTGATTTATGAAATAATGAAGTATTTATGATCTAAAGAATATCAAAATTTGGGGGAGAAAAGGCTTAATATTTATTTGTTTATTAAACATTTCTTTCAAGTTGTTTATGTTGCTTCGTTTTCTATGCTAATACTTTCTCTTTAATTCTACAGACAGACATAATTTCTTGATCAGTTATAAAGTTCCATTGTTGAAGTTCTCTAATTGCTGTGTCTAGAATTCCGAATAACTTGTCAATGGAAATTTTTTCGTTTTCAGAAACCTCTCTGTCACTTTCTTCACTATTGGTAGTGGTATTCTCCTGATCTAGAACCATGCTACAGATTTTGCCATTCATTAATTGATTGATGATTGAGGACCATTTTCATTACAATGAAAAACTTTTTATATCATCTTCATTTTTTTAACTCTTCTCCACATTTCTTTACAAAATCCGTTAATTGGAAAATTTCACTTTTGATTTGCAATATCTGAAAACCTTCAGATTCACAGCTATCATTATAAAATTTAACTATCATTCACTATACATATTTGGCTATGTATCATGACATTGGCAACTAAAGACGAGTTGTTCTGCTAAATTGTATCTTGCTTCTATTGCACACTGAGACAATTAAGCCCGAATTGTATTAGTTTAGTTATTTATTATACTTATGCCTATTCTTTGCACATGCTTAAGGCTTATCTGAGTCCTGAATTTGTCACGTTGTTATATCTAGAAATTTTCTTGCTGATAGTTTAAATATCTCAGAGCTGATAATTTTCTATCGATTGATTTGTGTAATTCATGAAGACAAAGGCATCAAATATTGTTTTTTAACAGTTCATACAACATTCTGCTAAACGATCAAATATTGTTTTTTAACAGTTTGGTGTGTTGGTAAAAATTCATCGGAATGTCGGGGATTTGAGTTTTGAAAGAGGTACCCCCAGATTCTGAAAATTTATGGGAAGCCATTTTGATTATTCTGATCTTTGTACGATTTTAATCAGCTACGATATTGATTAAAAACTCTGAAAGTGCATATTGGCAACAAAAAATTTATTTACGAATTGGTTGTTGTAGGTTGTACAAGATATAAATCATTGATTGTGCAGGTTGTTGTGAAGATATTTAAAACTCTGAAAATGCTAATTTGGCAGCAAAAAAATTATTTATGAATTGGTTGTTGTTGGTTGTGTGAGATGTTAAATTTTTTATTGTTGCTAGTTGTTGCTAGATATTACTTAAAAACTCTAAAAATGGTAATTTGGCAATAAAAAATGTATTTACGAATTGGTTAACTGCTTAAATTGGTTATCTGCCCACTTATCTGGAGGGCTTTTACACTATTATTACCTTATTTTTTAGCTGACTCTAATGTAGTCATTTTGGTTTTGATCAAAATTGTTGCATTCACTTTATTATTGAGTGGTTTCTGCTTCAAAAGCATAGATCCAGTTTTATAGTGAGCAATAATGTGTTTTAAGGAGTCTCAAGAAAGCATCTCCTGAACTCAAAAAACAGCATGTTGCAAGTCAAAATGATTTTTCAGAACTGTTTGACATGATCCAAATGATATTGAAACTTGTTCAATGATATCTGTAATTGTTGAATAATAATATTTAAACAGCATGATTAACATGTTGCTCCTTAGTTGAAGTGGATGGTCTATCACAGCATGATTCATCTTCAATGAATTCTCTGTTTTTCTTAAACATCTTAAAGTATTTAAAAACTGATGAAGTGTTCTAAAAAGCTTTTAGAAAAATTTCAAACAATTTTTCAACAGAAATTCCATTCCAGAAACAATTTAATAAATGTTCTTTGCTCAGTTTATTTCACGATTTGGGGAAACTAAACTCCCAAAGCGGAAATTCTTTATTCATTAAAAATTAATTTATTTTCAGATTTTGAGCCGAGGATTTAACTTAGTTGTTTCTTATCATGCTTCACATTATCATGTTAAATACTCTTAATATTCCTTTGCACATTATAATATTTTCCTTATTTTATTATTATATCTTATAAAATTAATGCATATATATGTTGGGAAAAAGGACAGTCTTGTATTAGCATTATGTAATTCCCAATGTACAGTTTTAAAAATTAGTATTTCAAAGTTGAAGCAACATATCTTTAATTAATGATAATTTAATTGAGATTAACTTCTATCAAAGCTGGTTTTGTTTCTGAAGCTAGAGAGTCGTCATATGGAAAATAATTAAAATCAGTTATTTTTTAAAGTAGCATTAAATATTAATGTTAAATCTTGCTGTTAATGTTGCTCTTATTATGTGTTTCAGGTCGCCTGTTAAAAGCATTTAACATTGATTTCAATTGGTATCATTTAGCTTCATGGGTCAACATTACAGAACAGTGGCCATATCGCACATCATGGATTATAATGTATTATGAAATGCATGAAAATGAATTTGATGAAATGTTGCCTTTAAAAACTGTCTATGAGAAGTGAGTTTCTTTTTGAAATAATCCAACTATGTGTTTAGGAATATGTATTCTTTCTTAATTTATTTGAATTTATGCTTTCAAAATACATTCATGTTTATTTCTTTTCTATATATTGGATGCTTTTGGAATTAAGATTTCTACTTTTGTGGATGACAAATTTTCAACAATATACAATTTTAAACTGAAAATGTCAAATTTTCAACAATAACCTAACACTTGGAAAATATGGTCAACAAGTACTGGTAATCTTGTGCTCAGATAAAAAGGGTGGGTAAATGAAGTCATGTTTTGATGATTGGTACTTTGTACCTGTTTCTGTCCATCAGTAAAGTATGAACAAAATTCTTCTGAAATTTAAAGCTTTATTGTTGTTAGATAATGCTGTGGGCATTCTCTTTCGATAACGCCGTGGACATCTTCTTTCTTTGTATTGGTGATGTTAAAATTGTTCGGTAAGATGTTGCATTAAGACTTGTAAAAACTCCTAAAGCAACATCTGTTTTTCAACTTATCAATTATAATGTCTTCACAATCTTTAAGATCATTTGTCTGAAACTGACAGTGCAAGGTACTATGGGTGATAACTGAGTTTCTTGTCCATTTCTGGAAGAAATTCAATGCTAAAAATGCAACTAAAAATATTTGAGAGTTTTGGGAATGAATAATGTCAGTAATTATGAAAGTCGTATTAAAAAAAACTTATGCCTAATTGGTACAACTAATATGTTGGGTGTAGGTGATAATTAGGTATAATTATTGGGTCAAACTTCAGCTATTGGACATTAATTAGGTTCTATTGAAGTAGACTCAGTTTATCTACAAAAGTTATTAAATTTACATTGTGAACAATTGAGTGATATTAATATTGCATTTATGAATATTAATATCACTCAATCAGAAAGCATTTATGAATTTCATTAAGAATTTACCATTGAAGAAAACTCTTCAGGAAATGGAGTCATTGCAGAAAATATTTTTTGCTACTTGAAAGAGTTAAAAGCATAAATACTGGACTTTGATCCGAATTTGGAAATAAGTCTACAAGTTCAGAAAATGATTGTAATGCATTGGTCTGTCATTAAAAAAAAAAAAAAAAGGAACAGAAAATAAAATGTTCAAATTATTTCATATAATTTTTTGAAAAAGAAAATACAAAAGTTATATATTTTTTCGTGTATCTATATATGTTTCTTTTTATATTTTTTCTTTATATAAGTAATTAAAAAAACATAAAAGGAGATGGCGAGAAAGATTTGGATGAAGTACAATATTTTTAACATTTTTATGTATTTGATTAACACAGCATTTCACTATTAATAAGAATGCTAAAGACATTGATAGTTAGTTGATATAACATCTTTATAGAATATATAACAACTTAGATGTCTTTATTAAACATGGGTAATTATGGTCCACATGTAGCAAAATTCTGGATATTTTACTCTCTCAAATCCAGAATTTCTGGATTCCAGAAATGCAGATTCTGTAATCAATGAATTCTAATAATCAAAATCTTTCTCAAATTTTATTTCAGCACAAATATATCATTCAGATTCAAAACTCTTAACTTATAAGTTCATGAGATTCAAACTCTTATGAGTATCAGGTTTGTCTTGCAGTCTAAGAGTTATTTTGCTCTTTGTCTTATACAGAAAAAGAAAACGATTGTAAAATTGGCTGATGTATTCACACGAAAACGTGGAAACAGAAATACCCATGTTTGAAACTGATAATCTCTTTTAACTTGCTTGCTTGGAACTGTTAATGAAAGTTCATCTAATTAAATGGGTGATATTAAATCAGAATATCCTCAAACACTAATGGCTTAGATGCTGCTCAGACTGAAATATTATTTATTCTCATGCAAAACTGAGTAAAGTTTTTGTTTCAAAAAATCCTCCTGGTAACGGTTGCTAAAGATTTTAGGGCTAATTTATTGTATAATAAATTGGACACCTTATTAAATTCTTTATATTTTACAAACTATTCTCATCTTTCGAGCAGTTTCTCATAAAGCAATTTGTCTATATCAAAATGTCCTGCAGATCATACTGAAATTTTAGTTGCTAGGGGAAAAAACATATAAACATAATAGTTCTCAGAAAGTAATCCCCTCCCTCTGGGAAAAGCCAGCTTCGCAGTGATTTTCAAAAACTGTTGAGAAACTAAATGATGTACTGAAACATAATTAATATTAAAAACAACTTTAAAAAAAATGTATACTTTTTTGCGTTGTATATTTCATGTATATTTATGTATATTTCATGTATAATGTATGTATTTCATACCAATATTCTGAAGTATCTGAAATTATGTTGGACATTTAGTGCTCAATATTTTTTAAGATTTTTTTTAAATGGGGTCATATTTACCCCTGATTAAATATGAATTACCAAAATTATTATTGTATATATTATTGTAAATTATCAAAATTACTTATGTTATATTAAATGTGAATGACCAATATCTCATATTAGTAAATGCAAGATTCTAGCAGTTAAAAAATTTGCATTCATATGAATATGCAGCATAGACTAAATAATGTGAAGTAAGAAAACAGAGTCTGTTCAGAATAGGCATTTTCATATAGTAATATATTGAAAAAGAATCAAAACTACAAATGTATTTCAACTTGATATTTTTTTCCTTCAAGAATGCTGTGTTTTATTTGAACAGGATTACAGAATGTGTTATTTTAAAACTAATTAATACATAGTTAGATCCAAAAGTTTTTAGTCTCGCATGAAAAAAAAAAGGTTAAGCAGAAAATTTCTCTTGGAGACATGTATTAGCGGTGTTAAATAAATAAACGTGAAAACATTTGTAATTTTTTTTTTTTTTTTTTTTTTTTTTTTTTTTTTTTTTTTTACTGCTTTACTAAGTGATGTGCTAGATTGTTTTTAAATGTTTAAAACTAGTATTTGTTCTGTGATTAAATTTTTTAAAAATTAATACATGGTGATTTCTCTCCCTCCTATTCTACTCTGAAAGGATGAATAAAATAATTTTCCATCGGCTGAGAATTGGTTGAAGGTGATTGTCATTAAAATTTACCATTAGAGGCATTGATATCTCAAAATATTGCTTATATCCAGAAGGAAATACTGAATATAGAAGATTAAAAAGTCAAGGTTGTAGCAAGAATGAATCTATCTAAAACAAATGTTTTGCACATGCTATGCGAACATATTTATATGAACAAAGTCTTTGCTTTAGGTATCCTCTTTCTTTCAGCAATTCAAAAACAGCAAGCTGGAGGTTTAGGAACTTGACCCCTCCCTTACAGTCGAGATTTATCTCCAAATGATTAAGTGCAGTTTTGAAACATTTTGACAGACTTTAAGATTACACTTCCAGGGGCATAAATTTGTTCATTAAATCATGTGAAGAGTAAGGTAAAAAGCAATCATATTAAAAAATAAATTATTAAAACTTTGTCTGTTTCTTTTAGAAGTATATCAGGCCAAAAAACATTTCGCTGTACTTGCATTCACTGTATAATAATTAAACAGCCTTTGGATTGAAAATTAAATTCTCAACATATAAAAGAACAGTACTAGTAATTTTTAAAATTGTACCAGTGAAATCGTATATGAATAAAACTTCTTCATCTAAGCAAATCATGTAAAGTTTGTAACATTGCAAACTTGAAATAGGATAGATAATTTGTAGTAAATCATTTGTTCTCTAATTGTAATTCTATATTTTTTTTTATTTAAAAATTGTTTGATTATATACTACAGCCAAGTATAGCAGTACCTCAGCTTTGATCCATCTGGTTTGAAAATCTCAAACTATTTTTAATTGAGTAAAATAAAAATAAAGATTAAAAAATGTATACAAAATTACTTTTAATGCATGAACGATAGAGTTTCCCCTCCTCTTTGTGCAGTAAAGTCTGTTTTTATGTGTTTATTTTTATGCAGTTTTAATGTTATGCAACACAATGCATATTTGTTTCTAGGATTCTCAATGTTTATGTAGGTACTTAAGCTTGGACCATTCATTCTTGAACTCTGACAGCTGTTGCTGAAGAAGCTCTGAAGCTGGAGAGAAATTCTTAAACTCTGACAGCTATCATTCAAGTCATTAGTAATGTAGTGAAAATTTTAAAGAGCAACTTAGATTAGATTTCATCAATGAAACTGAGTGCATCAAAACAAATACTAATTAGTTAGATAAGGAAATACTTATTAACAGAGATGAGCAATAGTTTTATGAAGAATGAGAGGACTATTTAGATGACAACAACTATATATAGGAGAACTAATATTCAATCAGCTATAAAAAATTATTAGAATGATTGAAACATTGTCAGAGCATATTACAGAAGCTAATTCCAATATTAAATATATCATTATGTCATATGATAAACAATCCATTTCAGTACTGCAAAGAAATATAGAAGGGGAAGAGAAAAGGCCAAAGGAAAAAAAAAAAAAAAAAAAGTTGTCCAGACATCAATATTGTAGCTTTTAGAGGGAAAAAATGAATTTTGGAAAACATTTTAAAAAAGGGTTCCTAATAAGACATTTGAATTTATTCACACTTTATGTATTGAAAAATAGAAAAGCCATTTTTAGAACAAATTATTAATTTTTGTGTTTATTTAGTTTCTCAATTATTTTGGCTTCAAATAATCCATGATATTAGAGGAACTTATTACCTGGACTAAAGGTGTCACTATATGCAAAAAAAAAAAATTGCTAAGTACTGTATTATTTTGTTGTACACACACAGACATAACCCATAAACACTCACATAGGATTAAAAATTACCCAGAAAGGATTATCTAATAAAAGTGAATAAACTATCCACTGTATTTAGCTATCAAGATCTACATTTCAAGATCATTTACCAGATTGTGTAAATGAAAAATAATTGAGTCACTTTCTGTTTCCCTTTTTGGAGGTAATTTATATATGCTGTGAAGCAGTTTTGCCTAGTGCCCAGTGTTTTTCAGTATAAAGTTTTTGTATGAAACCAGTAATCAAATTTTGTATGCATTTAGTTTCACATTCAGTCTGGTTTCAAATAGTCTATGATATTAGAGGAACTGATTATATAACATTTTTCAAAACATTCAAGTATTTATACTTTCTTGATTTTCTTAAATATGTCTTTCTTTGTTTCCAAAGAACCCATGTAAAAATTGAAAAAAATAAAATAAAATAAAAACTTACTTAAATTGACACAAGTGTGCCAGTTCATAAAGAATTACAAACCATTTTAAATTTAAATACTAAATCAGGTTCCTCTGATATTGAGCTTTTTTTTTTCAATTGTAACGAAGTTATTCTGTGACTTTTCTAATATTTAATTTAGGGTAAGTATTTACTCACTTATGTATTTTAATTCACAAATAGTTTAAATTTATTTCGTGTAATTGTACTTATAGTGATTCATGGCCAAATATGATTTTAAAAGAACTGTAATTTAGGCTTGCAAAAAATAAAGAGTAGTATTTTTGAAAATTTCATTTTCACATTCTGTGATGGCATAAATATTTGAAAACTATTGGTTTAAAATAATAAATATAACTATAACATAGTGTATGTTTACCTAAGAAAAAAATGTTTTAAGGTATGTGAAGTTTTAAATCTCCTTTTAAAGATAATTTTCTGTTTTCAGAATCAAATGTTACATGCCTGCTTCAAAAGAACAGGAGCCAACTCTTGACTTAGACCACGATGAAAGAAAATTTGAAGTTTTTTTATCCTTCCATTCCAGTAGTCTACTTATTAATGATCTAAAAGTTTTTCTACCCTTCACAATTAATTTGGACCCCTATATTAGAAAAGTAATTCAAGGTAAGTTTAATTAGACAAAGCAGGCTTTTTTCAACAAATTTTTAGAAGATAAAAAGTAATAAGTATTAATAAAGATATTTATGGGTACGCTTGCCAGATGTCCCGGTTTGACTGGAATAGTGCCTATTTTCAGAGAAAATCCCAGTGTCCATCTGAGTTATTTAACGTCCTGGTAAAAATTAAATTAAATTTTATAGATGACCAAAAAAGTCTAAAAAGTAATTAACTATGAAGGATTATTTAGGATAATTACTTGGTCATTTATTTCTCTACTGTATGAAAAGTGAAAACTATAGAAGAGTGATGTATCAGTATTGCCATCATATTGTCTTGCCAGTCGTGATGATGTGCAATGCGAGAGACTCTCCGGCCGAGTCCAGTATTGGGTACTAATGGGTGTAGCTTTAGCACCAGAAAAGATTTCACTGCATGCTACACCCCATCATGTGCAATAACATTGGACGTGCCCACCTCGGTGCTAACCGCTTGCAAGTCAGTAGTTGTCAGTCCCTGTCGGTGGTGCCTGTTGTGTTTGTGAGCTAGCACTGTTTTATTTATGTTTTAAGTTAAAAGTTTATGCGTTCTCTGTTAAAAATGCCAGAATGGTCGTGTAAATTCACCAAGGATTTACAGAATGAATTCCCTTTTTTGAAGAAGGTATGTACTAGTTATTGGTAATCAAGATCAAGACGATAGAGTTAAATGTTCACATTGTAATGCTGAGTTTTCAGTTGCTCTCGGTGGTCGATCCAATATAAAAGATCATTTGCTGTCGAGTAAATACAAAAAGAGTTTAGCATGCATTGCTAGCTCATCAAAATTGACAGAAGTGTTTTTTTTTTTTTTTTTTTTCCTAATATGACAAAAAAAAAAACCTTTGTGAAAGAGGTAACCTTTGCTTAGCACACAAAAAACCATAGCCTAAGTTTCAATTAGAATTCTTGTTCATCAAAACTAATTTCTAAGTTTTTTAACCTAAATTCTCACTTACAAAAACTAAGTATGAGCAGTAGTCTTAAATGTCATAGCTCCTTTAGCTCAAGGAGAGCTTAAAGAAGACTTGACAAGGTCAAACTGCATATCTGCAAGTATGAATGCATCAAACAGAAAGGCTATGAAATGTGCACCAACTGTTGTGCTCAAGAAGACTTGACCAAGTCAAACTACGTATCTGTAAGTATGGATGCATCAAACAGAAAGGATATGAAGCTTGTGCCAGTTGTGTGCTACTTTAATCCTAATTCAGGTGTGCAAATAAAGCTGTTAGATTTCAAATTTGTGGCAGTGAAACATCTGAAATTCTTACAAATCACTTATATTCTGTTGCAAAACAATTTGAACAACAAAATAGTTAGCTTTTGTAGAGATAACTGCAACACTAACTTTGGTGGTGTGAAAAGAGTAGGGAAAAACAATGTTTTTCATTGACTCGAGAATAGTCTAGAATGGGATATCAGTGGAATCGAATGTGGAGCACACATTGTGCATGAGTGTGTGCAAACTGCAGTAGATAGTCGCCCAATCGATATTGAGGCCTTACTGGTGAAGATTTATAAATACTTCCACATATACACAGTTCATGTAACTAAATGAAAAGAATTTTGTGAGTATGCCAAGATACAATACCATGAATTCATTTAACATGCAAACACTCAGTTTGAGCATCGTTGATAGAAATCAATGATATCTGTGCTGGAAAAAATTTTACAGATTTTTGAAAATCTGAAAGAGGTTTTTGTAGACCAAGAAATGTGCCCATCAACAATAAAAAATTTGTTTACTGATTTAATGGGCGAGCTCTACTTGTGGTTTGTCCATGGACAGCTTGTACTGTTTAACAAGGCCATCTTGGTAATGAAAAAAGATAACATTGCAGCTTTTGAGGTTGCTGAAACTCATAAAGCTCTCAAAGGAAAGGCTTCAAACTTTATCCCTATGGGTGCAAATAATATTTACAGGAATCTCGATTAGCAAGTTCATAACAGTGTGAAAGAAGAATTTGATGGCTTTTATGAAAGATGCATTGCATACTTGGACCTCTAAGACAATAGTTTTGGAAATGCTGAACAGTTTTCATGGATCAATCTGACCAAAACAAATGCTGTTGATTAGGAAAGTGAAGAAAAATGGCTCAGGCTGTTTGGTCACTTCAAAGAGAATAACCTAGCAGCCCTCAATCTGATCAAGATTATTGAGTATGCCTTCTGCTTACCTGGCACATCAGCACCAGTTGAAAGAATACTTTCTTTGATGAGCAACATATGGGCTGATAATAGGGGTTTGATGAAGGAATCTACGGTTAAAGGCTTGATGACATGTAAAATTAATATCGGATTAGCTTGTGAAGATTTTTAGAAGATTAAAACCAAAAAAGCTTTCTAAAAAATGTCCTAGCCAATACATGTAAATATTGTTCAAACTTTTATTTCTCATTCAAAGTGTTTCTTCTTACTTAAGTAACTTATAAATATTAACATATAAGAAATAAAATGTTTAAATTTATATTCTTGTGTCATTTATTATTACCTCTGGTTTAGACTCCTAATCAGTAACCATTTATCCCTAGCACGGAGAATAAACTACCCTCTAAAACACTCTAGAAACCCGCTAAGGGTGGTACCCTTGAATACTGTGACGCTGGGCGGCATTCCGGTGTCCTGGTTCAGAAATCTGGCAAATCTATCTATGGGTTTTGTTTATTGTGTACTATGCTCACATGGTGTAATAATTTTGAAAAGTAAAAAAAAAAATTATGTAATATTTTTAGTTTGTGCACCATTTATTAATCTGATTTTAAATCTGAAAATATTTCTAATATAATTTACTTCAACATCGGTTCTAATTTTAGATTGTCGAAACTTTCTTATTCTAAATATCATTGATTCAGATGTTTATTTTGATTTTTAACACTTATGTGAATTTATTTTTGCTAATTTTCTATAATTTAATTTTTTGCTTGGATTTTGTTGCAACAGTTTATAATTAATGGCAAAAAAAAGTGTCTTACTGAAATAGGTCAGTAAAGTCTCAGTCATATAAAATGTGTTCTCTTTTAATTTAATTATCTGTGTTAAATTGATTGTGTCTAATAATAACAGAATAACTTACCAGTAGTTCTGCCCCCCCCCATCTTTCTTTGATCTGTTATTCATGTGTTTACATGAATTTTTTATTTATTCTTCTGAATATCCTATACTACCGTTGTCATATGCAAATTATTATTTTCTTATAATATTTATAATTTCATCTACTTCGTTTAAAAGGGGAAAATGTACATTTAATCATTAAAACTTATTTTTAAGTTGTTAATCCACATGATAAATAAATACAGTGCATGTCTCTGAGAAATATATCCCATTTCAAAGGTGAAAAAGCTAAGGAACTTGCCTGAGGTAAAAAGTAAGAGAGGGTGCAATAAGTTAAATATTAATATTAAAGTGATGAAAAGTTATTTAGGGATGTACTTTTTAGATTTGTTTGACAGTATCTGCAGATTTTATAGCAAATTTACTGCTGGTATCACTTAAATATGAAGTGGACAAATTATTTTTTATTTTAATTAGTAATATCTGTTGTTATTAATATATTAATATGAGTAGTAAGTTTAAACCATAATTCACTATTTGATTTCTGGTAAGTTATTTCTGTTTGTTTAAGTGATAAAATGGAAAAAAAAAAATTATATCTTTTATATCTGTAATTATGATCATGTATCTAGATGATCAAGGGCATAAACTTTTTATTATAAAAGTTTCATAACTACATCTTGAACTAAAACTAAATTATTAGAAGGAAATCTATATAATTTTAAAGATAAACTGCAAAATGATAAATAATGTTTATCCATTGGTACAGTTCATGCCATTACAGGAAATTTTTCTTTGACTAAGATTGAAAGAGTCTGTAGTTTCAAATTTTCAAATAGGGTATTTATGTGCTACATGCTTAAAAATGAACGGAAGAAAAATCTGTCCATGATTTTAACCGAATGATTTTGAATTTCCATAATTTTAACAGAATGCTTTTAAATTTAAATCATGTTGACGAGATGTTCAGTTCCTGAATATTATGTAGTTTAATATATATTATTCGTAATATTTAATACTTAGATAAGAGGTACTAAAGTGATAATGATAATAGTTTTTCAGTTCAATAGTAGGGAAATCCGTAGTATGAATGTAAACTGATGACTGAGTGAGGATGTTGGTTTGTAACTCAGTGATCACCTATCTCTCAAAATATCAAAAACCAATCTAATGTATTATTAAATACTGTACTATTAAGTACTGTACATTTTTTTAAATTCATTGTAACTATTTCTCATTGTAAATATTGAAATTATTTTCAGAAAAATCTTCTTTTTAATAGCTGAAAATTCAAATTTATCAAAATCCGTCTGCTCAGAAGCTTTTTAATCTGATTTTAAAGCTTTTTAATTTATAATCTTCTTCATTAATCAGTTTTACCAGCTTAGTTAGATTTTTTTTCTTTCTTTCTTTCTTTCCTTCTTTCTTCTTTTCTTTTCTTTTTTTTCTTTTTCTTTTTTTTTTTTTTTTTTTTTTTTTTTTTTTTGAATGCTCATAGACTTTATATTCAGTATTATAATTAATTTCAGGTTTTAATGATGAAATTCCATGATAAAATACTGTAAAATACTTGGTAAAATATTTGAAATTACAATAATAAAAATTGAGATCAATTCACAAAGTAAAATTTAGTCTAAAATTCATTTTTGTTTTTCTGTTGAATGTATCCAGTGTATTATCTGACTAACTTAACAATATGATATATACTTTTTGTATATTCATATTTTTCTAATTCATTTATATTATTTTAAAAATCAAAATGATCTTTAGTATATTTCTGTATGATTTACAGTTTAAATAAAAATATATTCTTTCTTGTTGAGATAAATTTTCTTTATTCTATATTTTCTTTAGAAACTCACCAGCAAGTTTCAGAATTTCTTAAAAGTGATTTGAAACCTTCTAGTCCTCCTCCTAGTAAGCTGGATGTTCTGAATGTGAAACTACATCAACATCTAACAACACCTCTACATACTCAGGATTTTGGACCTTCAGTGCCATATGGTACTCATCCACCTCCTCTGAGTAGAAAAGATATATTTCAGCATAGTCATATGTCTTCTTCTTCTGTATATCCTACAGCCCCATCTCCATGGTGGAATTTTTCACCAGAGCAAATGACTACCCAACATGCTGTATATCAGTCATCCAAGTCCTCTTCCATCATGGTAAGCTCAAAGGTTGCCATTTTATTATATATCGTAACTTACATTGCAATGCATAATTATCTCTATTAAAATCTTAAATTGGTAAACGACTTAAAATTTCTTTGATTTTTATTATTATTCTTAATTTTTCTTTCATATAAAACTGTTTTATTATGAAAAATATTAGCTTTTCATGGTTGTTTGCTGTTAGTTTGTTTTCCCTATAATTTAAATTGCTAATTATCTGTATTTTGGATTGCAGCTTTTACCTGATCAGGAGAAGCTCAGCTCATTATCTGTGTCAGGTATTGCTGATTTATTAAGATCACAAGAAAAACTAAACAAGAAAAAACTAGAAAGTTATATTCATGCCATCGAGGAAAATAACATAAATGGTCAAGTTTTATTGACTTGTGATTTGAAAGAACTGAAAGAGACTTTGAATATGTCCTTTGGTGACTGGGAACTCTTTCGTGTCTTAATTCTTACTTTAAGAGAGCATGAAATGGGAAATATTAATTTTGCCTATAATAATGATGAAAAGCACCTTTCAAGTTCTCCTAATACACTAACAACAAAACAGTCCACTAATGCTAGGCCTCCTCCAAATAATTCACCTGAAGCAAAGAAAAGTGAAAATCTGCCAGCAAAAATATCAAAAATTGGGTCAGAAAGTGCAGATGCTTCTAATGCACCACAAAGATCTCGCAGTACTGTTTTAGAAAAACAGGTAATTTTTTATCAACCTATTCAATCTTTTACTATTGTTTTGTGGTTTAATATATAAGAAGGTAATAAAAATGTGTTTGGGCAGTTAAAAAAAAAAAGAAATATGGATTGAAACATTAATTTATCACTAGTGCAAGATCATACAAATATAAAATAACTATATTTTCTGATTAATTCTAGCTCTTTCAAATCAATATTTTCCAAACTTTTCACATTATATGCTGCTTTTAAACATATTTCTATGAACTATACCCCATGTTATTGAAATAGGAGCTTTTTTAAAAAAATATTAATATTCGGTCTACGAGAAGAGTTCAGTCCGTTTTTGGAATAAAACAATACATTTTTTTTACCATCAGTAAACTTTATTAAATAATATCATTGCCATTATTAATAATGACTTCTTGCCAGCATAAGGGCAATTTATATATCCCATTTTAGAAAAATGTTGTATCTTTTGATGCGAAAAATGAAACTAGTGCGTGTTTGATATCCTTCATTTTTTAATTTTTTGCCGTTCAAAAATTTTTAAGGGAAAAAACAAGTGATAGTCAGAGAGTGCTAAGTCTGGGGAATATGGTGGATGCAACAGAATTTCCAGCCTAGTTCTGCAGTTTTTTTACGAATCTCCAAAGCAGCATGTGGCCTGGCATTATCATGATGCAGTATGCTGTCCTTCCTATTGAACATCGCCGGCCTCTTTTCTTGGACTACTACCTTTAAATTATCCGGTTGTTGACAATATTTCTCCAAATTAAGCTTTTCATTTGGTTTTAAAATCTCATAATGTATTATTATGATGTTATCTTAGCACATCCTCGAATGTCTTACCATATACACAGCACTCTCTTATTCAGAGTCAAATTTGGTTTAGAGGTGGAAGGGCTAGGTTTTCTGGGCTCACACTGTGCCCTTATGTTGTTTTCGTAGGTGATCCACTTTTCATCCCCAGTTATCATATGCTTCAAGAAGGGATCGATTTTGTTCCAAGCAAGCAGAGATGTGCATATGACGACTCAATCATCCAAATTCTTCTGACTTAATTCATGTGGCACCCATCTTGACTGTTTCTACACCAATCCTATCTTCCGAATATGATCCGAAATGGTTTCGTGAGCTGAATTAAACCTTTCTGCAATCTTCGATTTTGTCAGAAAAGGATTTTACTCCAAAATGGTCTTAACAACATCGTTGTCAATCAAAGATGGTCGCGTAGAACATGGCTCATCAGAAAGGTCGAAATCACCTGTTTCAAATTTTTCGAATTATCTTCTGTGTCCTATCAGAACCTGTACGTACACCAAACACTTTCAATAAATTTATATGTGTTTCTGTAGCATTTCTTCCTTGTTAAAATTCATATAAAATACAGTTGCATTAATAAGTTTTATCAGTAGTCATGGGTACACTGTCGCTTCACACTTAAGACTAATGGGATCAGTTTTGTTTTAGTTAATTTGCTACGTCAGTATGTATACATTAAATGATTAAAACAGAGAGCCAAATAAACTCCGTTAGACCAAATATTTTTTCATACTATCTTAACTTGTAGTTGTAGAAATGAGGTAATGATTTAGGCATGGAGAATTACAACAGTAAATGTGCAGATCATGGTTTAATTTTACGGTATTTGTAACATAGACATAAATATAGATTGTAGAATTTAATAATTATATAAGTGAAATAAGAAATAACACTAGAAGTGAACAAAATATTATTAGTGGGTCAAAATGGGGTATGCAGTAGATGATTGTAATAACATTATTAACTGCAGAAAGAAGATTTTAAAAAAGTGAAGGAACTGTAAGTCTTCGAATTGTTCTCTGTTAAAGGAAAAATGAATATAAACCAGTTTAATTTGATAAATGAAAAATCACACTTCAAGTGTTTGAGGTAATTGGTATATTATTTTTAGTTTCACTAATTAGCAATTTAGTTAAATTAGTATTATATCAGCTGAGGTACTTGAAATAAAGTTGTGTTTACAATATCTAAGAAAAAGTTTATTTACTACCCTTTATTTAACCGCCTCACCTTTTGCTCTGAGAGAGACTTGTCAATTTGAAAAATGTCGTCAGTGGCTTTGAACCCTAATACAATATATATATATATATATGTAATGTTTTCAGTTATTCCAACACATTGTGGGCGAATGGTCAGGCTATTCCATTATACGTTCTGGCAGATGGTTGACGAAGCTGGGATGTTTGAAGCATGGAGAAAAATGACGACTCGGGACTTTTCACTTTTAACAGCAAACATATCTTTATTTTATTTTATAGCAGATGACTTTTTCCAGATGGAGTTAATCAAAGAACTTATTCAGTAATTGAACTATTAGATACGACTGACTTAAACTTTAATACATCATAACGTTCTAACAAAGAAAAGAGGAGCATAGGGGAAGCGTTAGCAGGACGAAGGCGAGAAGCCATCTGTTTAGGAGAACTTATGACGCAGCATTTATATGAAAGGTTATGTTACAGAGTAGCTTCTAGAAAAATGTAGAAAAACTTATGACACAGCATTTATATGAGGAGGTTATGTAATAGGTGCGAATGTTCTAGAAGGTAATGGTCTAAGCGGAGATGCTGAATTGCAGAAAATTAATTAAAGGATGCTGGTTCGCAAAGAGCAAAGCCATCGTATTTTTTTTATATCTTACATCTCCCCCCCCCCCCGTCAAAAAGAGAGGCCGGGGTGAGAAAAGCATTAGTACAGGAGTGAAGCAAAAGTATCAGAAAAGACATGAAAACATCCAGAACATAGCGTACAAGCTTTAACTATGGCCTATCATAGTCCATGACTTTCTCATATAAAATTTTGACTTTATAGCATATGAAATTTTGAACATTAAAACAATGAGTTATAAATTAATATACAATATATGACTAATTTTAAGACTATAACATAATAAATATGGAATACTGATAAATAAATAAGTGATAATTACAAAAGTCCTCAATTTTGTTAAAAATGTCCATTTTGTTTTTTGAAAGTCCTTTTCATAAAAAGAGTTCGAATAGAATGAAAATATCTGGTAAAATCTCTAAATGCCAGATAGTCCACAAATATGATACATGTTGATAGTTCACAAATATGATGCATTTTTTTCGCTGAATATGTTTTCATAATAATAAGCTTTGATTAGAAAATATTTTAAATTTTTCTTCCTTCAGATAAAACTTAGAAAAGAAATAGATTATACAATTTTTGAATAATATATTATGTGCATTTTTCCCTCTCATCGTAGGCAATTAAAGATTGACATATTTTACACTTCAATACAAAATATTATAAGTATTCAAAAAAAACAATTCAATATAAATAATACAATTATACATTAGAACATGAACACTTCCACTTTAAAACTATGGCATGCCCTCGCCAACAGATCAGCGTGATTACTTGCTGATAGTTGGGGGATGCTTGATACAAATATCGAAAAACCTCCGTTGCCTAATACAATTAAGCTGTTGGGAGGTCCACTGCTTTCATCTACGCATTTGAAATAATTGAAATAATTACATAATATATATATATATATATATATATAGTAGGGTAGGAACATTGCAGCAACCTTGCTAAAAAGTTACCAGGAGCTGTAGCTCCACGAAATGTTGTAACATAGTACTACATAAACAATAAGAAATTTGCCTGGTAAAACTGGAAAAACTGTACAATCAACTAAAAATACCTAACATTTTCAAAAAATATCAACACTTGCTTCCTGAAACCAACAACTCCAAATTAAGCCCTGCTTTAAATTTGAAAAGAACTTAGGTCAATCATCTTAGGTGTTATCATCTTAGGTGAACTTAGGTGTTATCAACCAACACGAGATTCAAGAAAATAGCATGTGTCATTGCCAACAGGCTCTTTACCAAAAATATGTCAATCCTTTCCACCAACGTGTGATAACAGGAGATCTTAACATCATTGAAGACTTAGAATTACGAGACCTTTTACAACTTGGCACCAAATTTTGTCCTACTTTTAGAATCAATAAACATCTTTGCCTCAGACAATTCAATCAAGATCTTGATAAATTTATCATGTTAGCTAGTAATAAATCCAATTTACCTACTACCACTTTTCTTGAATGGAAAGCTGCACTGATTACAGAATTTCAACATTCACTCTTCAAGGCACCTTCTTTCAACTCTCTACACAATAAGAAAGCAGACTCTTTGAATCTAATTCAACAAAACTGCAAGATAATTTTATCATTACAAAAATTGACAAAGCTAGCAACAATTTTAGTGTTATCCTTGAAAAAAGTTTTATTTCGACCTTCTGCACAAAGAACTAAATAGTAATGGCACTTACCAAAAAATTACTACCAGCACATCAAAATTCTTATCAATAAATTTAACGCACTACATAAAAGACTTAAGATACATCCACAGAAATATAATAACAGATTCGCAAATCTCTATGCTCTTCCAAAATTTTATAAGTCACCTATTAAATTCAGGTTCATTGCCAATAATACCAAAAGTTATCTTAAAGAAATAGATTATCTTTTTGCAAAAAAACTTCGTTTAATATGTGACTTGATTAATAACTATGATTTTCAAGATCTGCATTGCAACTGGACGATTTCAAGTAACGAACTCATAATTAAGACAATTAATTCAATTAAAATCGACCATATACAATGCTACAATTTCGAAAACCTTTATACTACCTTACCGCTTGAAGAAATTTATACCAGCTTGCTTGCTCTACCAGATATAATTCCTCAGATTTCTACAATAATTGATAATGAAAAATGGCAACTTTTTCTTACGAGCATGCTTTTCAATAATTATATTCTCTTTAACAATTGTATCTTTAAACAAATACAAGGGATCCCAATGGGTGGAAATTTTTCGAGCTCCGTCTGCGAATTATTCCTTTTCACAAGAAGAATTGAATCATTTGTCCGTTCACCAGACAAAAAGAACATAAATTTTACCAACACATTTATCGTTACATTGATGATATCATAGCCTTTAACAACCATAACAAAATAGAAGCAGCTAATATCTACCCAACTAGCTTAAAGCTAAATAAAAAAAAATACGGTGCAAAATAATGTAGTATACCTTGACCTTAATATAATTGATTACAATTTTATTAAAGTCTACGACAAGAGGAGAGAATTCACTTTTTCTACACTAAAGTTAACAAACTGGAATTCTAATATTTTCAAAAGAATCATCATTAACACAATTTTTTCACAGCTTCTTAGAATAAAAAGGATCTGTAATACAACAGAACACTTACAAGAAGAAATACTTTACTTCGTCACAATTTTAAAAAATAACCAAATTACTAAGAAAATAATTAAAAATACTTTAAAAAAAGCTGGCATTAGCCTTACCAATTTTTAGATAATTAGTTTTGGATAATGAAATTTTCTGCTTAAAGCCTATTGGAGGGCAGATGATGGATGGCTAATTCAGATTATCTAATGTAAAATTGTATAAATGTAAATGTACAGTTAATTCTTCTACAAACATTTTCTTTCCTCCAAAGTTTTGGCACTCTACTTTAATACTATTATGTAATAGTTTTAAATTACTTAGAAGGCCAGACTCTGCTTTTATTAACAAAATCGGGCTTTTTCATTTTTCATAGTAGCTTGACAGCCCTCTAGCTTGAAGAATGACGACTTTTATTAACAGATGATTATTTTCCAATTTACACTTTCTTTTGAGGCCAAAAATAAGTAATTTTAGCTGAATTAGCCATTTTCACTTATTTTTAACAGTTTTGTTCTTCCTACAACTTGACTGACGCCATTTTGAGTTCTTTCCGTGTCTTTTCTCATCTGTCACCCCTTCTGTAAAAAAGAGGGGGACATTTTTTGAAAATATTTTGATTTGAATAAGCAGACATTTTAAACCTGATTATAATATGCATATGTCTCTATAACATGAACCTTTTAACTGATTACTAGAAAGATAATTCTTAAAAAAAGAGGTTGTTTATTTCAAAAAGTGATCTGAATGCGGATATGAGGTGATCATGTGTTAATTTTTATAATATGTATGATGCTTTAAAAAAACAGGTGAAATACAGAGTTTTTTAATAAAAGATTTATTAAATTATTAATAAAATACATTTTTAATAAAGCTTATTCAAAAATTTTATTAAAAAGGAACAAAACTTCAAATTTAATATATTATTTCACCTCAATTTAATGTATATTTTGTGGAGATTATATGCACACTGCTTATAAGCTGTTTCTTCATATTTATTCCTTAATTGTGCATTTTTGCTTGTTTCCCAATCTAAAGCTGCAAATATAATTAATTACTGTAAGTTATGGCTTGTTTAACTTTGACTAACATGTTTTACTGATTATTTAATTTCTATCCTTTCCCTATGCAAGCCCATTTGTCCCTACTGGCAACTCATCTTGAATGAGGTGGGACTCTCTTTGCATATCTATTGTTTTGTATGTTTAATTACTTTAAGCAGAAGCTGATGAGCAAAATTGTTTGACTTTGGTGAGAGGCAGAATAAAATACACATTGAGATTCAGAAAAAATTCCTGATTCATGTTTATTTGTCAATAAATTTTATGTACATGGTTATCCAAATTAAACTTCCCCAACTCAGAGGCCTGTGCAGAGTGTTGTATGGGTCATAATGTGATGAAATTTTAAAAACAGACACTTCAGATCATGCGCTTGAGATTTATTACACAAAAAAATTAGTACAAGAAGTTGCCGATAGTTGGCGCTGTAACACTAGTAATGTGCATATTGCAGCAACGTGATTTGCAGAAATAAAGCTTCTGCGCAACGTATCCAAAAGACGAGCCCTACAAAAGTGGAAGACAGGCCTTCCACAGGCAGTTGTTTCCAGCTCGCTGATGCACAATGGCGACTTTGAAAGACAAAGCTCTGTTAGTGAAACTTTTCTACCAGAATGACGAGAACTCCTGTGCTGCGATAAGAGCATTCCGTCAGCTGAAGATCTTACGCTGAGAACCAGTGACACCCACATGCTCTACAAGATAAGATGAAGAAGTTTGAAAGAACACGACAGCTGGGAATTTTACTAGGTAGAGGACGACAGGTTGTGAAATCTGCACGCTTAGAAGATGTTGCTTTGGCGGTCATGGATCCCACTAGCCAATCGCCACATGGTGTTGTCAGTGTGCCAACTGTTTCTCGTGCTGTTGATATGCCCTATACGACCGTCTGGATGCGTCGAATCCTCGGTTATTTTCCTTACAAAAATCCATAGTCGTCATCAGCTGTCTGACGGGGATCCTGTAGTTCAGGAAATATTTGCGTTCCAGTTCCTTACCAGAATGGAAGTCGATGCTGCTTGGCTGTGGAACATCCTTTGGACGGATGAGGCCCATTTTCACCTGAATGGTCAAGTGAATATACACAACTGCCGCATTTGGGCAAGTGAAAACCTGCGCGCAATCCATCAAGTGCCCTTGAACCCTCCAAAGGTTACTGTATGGTGCGGTTTCACTGCAACATTCGTCATTGGGCCTTATTTTTTTGAAGAGGTGACTCCAACATGATTCAAAACCTGCTCTGTCACAGGAAAACGGTAGCAGGACATGTTGACAACGTTTGGGATCCCTGAACTGCAACAACGTGGCCGCCTCCAGGACACAATATTTATGCAGGATGGTGCACCTCCCCATATTCTTCGTGGCGTTCAACAGGTGTTACGGGCAACTTTTACTGATGCACGTGTGATCAGCTGCTGTTTCCCTACAGCTTGGCCTCCCCGCTCACCTGATCTCACGCCATGCGACTTTTGGTTATGGGGATTCTGAAAGGATCGGGTCTACCTAGAACACCCAGCAACCTTGGCACATCTGAAAGACGCAATTATTCGACATGTTCGTGGAATTAATGTGGACTTACTGTATTCCGTTGTGGAACACACTGCTTTGCAAATGGAAAGAGTTGTGAAGAACCACAACACACATATAGAACATGTGTAGAATGTCGTGTTGATCTGCTGCACCACCTATCGGCAACTTCTTGTACTAATTTTTTTTTGTTTGTTTTTGTTTTGTTTAATAAATCTCGAGCACATGATCTGAAGTGTCTGTTTTTAAAATTTCATCACATTATGACCCATACAACACTCTGCACAGGCCTCTGAGTTGGGAAAGTTTAATTTGGATAACCCTGTATATCTTACATAAAATGTAGGATATTTTTATGTAAATATGTGATATTTTTAGAAATTTCTTTGTTTATATTACATTTTGAGCCTAAGCATAAAATACATATTTATTAATCAATTGGTATGGCAGGGTGAGTGATTTATGGAAGAAAGTGAACTAAATGTGTTCTGGAGATCTTTTAGATAACATTTTAACATTTGAATAATATATAAAATTTCTATGCAGAAACTTTTAAAAAAATCGAAACCATTTATCTTTACAAGAATAAGATATCTGTGTGATTTTTTTTCTAGAAATAATACAGGACAAAGTCTGTAGTCCAGACGTCCATTATCCGGAATGATCTATAATCTGGACCTCAAAGCCACAAACTTTTTTTTATGCTTTACGCATGCGCGTTTAGCACAAAAAATGAAGCAACTTAAACAACTTACATTGAAAGAAATGTTTAATAAAGTAAAATAAATATTAACGTTTTTTTTTTTTTTTTTTTTTTGATACCCTTTAGATCATGATTGCTCTTTATTTCACAAATTACGGTTTCATATTTTTAATTGTATAATTCCTGCGTGCCATCTTACCAGATTTAAATTGATGATCTATAATCCGAAAAAACCCCTAATCCGGAATCGCCAAAGTCCCGACGAGTCCGGATTACGGACTTTGTATACGAATGCAATTTCTTGATTTTTACACTTTTTGTTTTTTTGCATATTTTATTAAATGGGTTTACAAGATCACAGACATAATGGCTGCTTCTAGTGACTTGTACAGAGCAATAATGAAGCTATATTAAAAAGCAATATGAATGTAGATTACTGTTTGATTATTAATAGCAAATAAATTTTATATTGTGTTTAAAATTTCTAATTGCTAATAAAATGTAAAGCTACAGGACGTTATTATAATTAAATTATATGTAACATAATAGACATTCTTTTAATAAATTTAAAAACTAACTGTTCTAATAATCAGTCAGCTATTAGATTAATTAAAAAGAATATTAAAATCAAATTCTGGCTTCAAAGAATAATTTGCAGATAATTCAATATTGTAAACAGATTTTATGAGAATACATCTTTAAATGTTATCCATATATGTATACTTGGGTATCATTGTTGGAAGTAAACATGGAACAAAAATGAAATGAAAGTTGAATACATATTAGTGCTTGATAAAGGTGCTAAATTCTATTATACAGAATTTTGAATCAAAGTGTAATAATAATATTCATATCGATTCTTCACTGAGTGAAGATAACAAAAATTAATGAGATTAATAACTGTTGCAAGTTGAGGCTCTTTTTAGTTATTATGACATTTCTCATTATGTTTCTTAATATTTATGCTTTTTTAAACATTTTTATGATTATAAAATAAAATTTTTTTTATATATTTGTATCCTTCTAATTTTTATTAACTAATGATTATCAGCTTCTGCTTTAAATATTTTTTTTTTTTATTTTACAAATATTTTTATTACTTTAGCTTACTAATATTTTAATTAATTTACTAATTGTACCATTTTTTAATGTTCTACATTTTAAAATAATATTTTTGTGTATGTTAATGTAAATTCAATATGAAGTTATCATAAATATGATACTGGTGATTGATTAATGATTTTTATATGTTGTAATACTATACGTTTTCTATACGTTATAAAACATTTTCTAATTATTTCACTCAAAAATATATACTGATGTTATTTAATAATAGTTTAAATTCAAATGTAACTCTGTAATTAAATGGTAAACTGCATTTGTATTCGGTAATGTGCATGCTAGATGTAGGTAGATTGCATTAGAAAAACCATCTAAAATTTAGGTTAAAAAAAAAAGAAAATCAGTCTTTAGAAAACCGTCTAAAATTTTCTGATTTTCAGCTATGATTAATATTTTTTTGTTCATCTGTTCTATGCAAAGTTTTTTTTTTTTTTTTTTTTTTTTTTTTTTTTTTAAGTTTAAAAATTAATGTTACCATTGAATTACTAAAGGCATTGACATTTCATACATAGTTGCAGTCATAGCCTATTTTAATATCTGTTTTATAAATTATATGTAGTTTATGGTGAATAAATAATGTTCTTTATATCAAAAACAATATTCTAATCTACAGTGGTACAAAAATTCAGCTGTTTTAAAGTATTTTTAGTAATTTCGTAATGTTTTGTTCATTGGAAATTGTACAATAAAAGATTAAGATATTGAATCAAACTAACATTTGTTTGATTTAGTATAATATTAAAGCCCCTTAGTTATACTAATCCATGCATTGCAAGCTTAAACTTTTCTAATAAAAGTCGCCATAATACATCCCCCTTTTTTACAAACAGAATTAATTTTTATTAAGGAATGTTGATTGAAAAAAAAGGGAGGGTTATTGGAAAAGTTAAAAGAATTTCCAGCTTGTTGTACTATAAAACCAAATACACTGCCCTCCAAAAGTTAAGGAACAGCATATTTTCTGCATCAAATTTGAGAATGAAACAACATAGAAACAATAAATTTACAGGACATGTTTACTAAACAGTTCTTTAATGAACGCAACATAGAATGTTTCTTAAGTTCAATACAAACATGAATTACAACAAAAAATTGCACTCTTGGCTGAGAAATCCAGTCTTGGAGAAACAGTATATCACAGTTTTTTTGTGAAGAAAAATTGGATGGCAACATTAAAAAAGTGTGTTCTAATAAGGAATATGTCCAACCCTAGCTGCAATACATTGGTGGCAGCAATGTTTCTTGCTGTTAATTAAGTTGTTGGTCAGTGAAAGGGGAAGCAACAACCAGACAATGGAGTAATCCTTTTTCAAGCTTATCTAACGATCATGGACGAGGATTTAAAGCAGCAATCTGTCTCTTAAGGTAGTCTCAAAAATGCTCTATTGAATTCAGGTCTGAGGAATGAGCTGGCCATTCCATCCGCTCCATACCGTGACCCTCGAGCTTGGTAAAGTCGTGCATTATCATACATCAGAAGAAATCCATCTTGGACGATCTTGGACGAGGATTTAAAGCAGCAATCTGTCTCTCAAGGTAGTCTCAAAAATGCTCTATTGAATTCAGGTCTGAGGAATGAGCTGGCCATTCCATCCGCTCCATACCGTGACCCTCGAGCTTGGTAAAGTCGTGCATTATCATACATCAGAAGAAATCCAGGACCAATAACAGTGGCATATGGGTGGACATATAGAATAAGGATCTCATCCCAATATCTCACACCATCTCAAAGTTTCTCTATGTAACATATGCAGGTCAGTGTGACCGCCAGGAGAGATCCCAGCCCAAACCATTATTCCACCACCCTGTAACTGTGTCTTTCCACAATGTGGGATTGGTTGTATCTGGTGCGTTGTTCCCTCCAGATCAGCTGATGATCTGAATCACTCTCCAATGTGAACCTTAACTCGTCTGTGTAGAGAACAAATACCCATTGTTGACTACTTTAGGAGGTGTGTTCTCTTGCCCAACGTAAATGGACACATCTGTGTCTTTGTGTCAAGGGGATACAAACAGCTGGTTGTCTTGCATACAAACCTATATTGTGTAAGCGTCTGTGCACTGTAGTAGTTCCTGTTGCCACTAAATTATCTGCTATGAGCTGAGTCACAATAATGTTACTCCTTCTATGAGCCAAAAGAGCTAAATAACGGTCTCCCGCAGGTGTCGTAACTCTAGATCTGCCTGGAAGATGTCTTTTGGACACAGAATCCTTGGATTCAAGCTAAATTCCATAGTCGATGAACCACAATATGAGAGAGATTGAGACATCTAGTAGCATCAGCTTGTGACATACCTATTTCCATCCATCTGATCACCCGCCACTTCAACGAATCGGGTAAACGACTTCTCCTGGGTATTGTCCACGAAACTGTAACAGGGTTCATAGCGTTCTTTATAAGTCCTTATATTTGAAAATAAAATATAAAGGGCCTTATAGGTGCTTACTTTTTCTTTAAAGCCCTTATTTTTTTTTTTTTTTTTTTTTTTTTTAGTGCTTATTTTTTGCTTTTAGTGCTTTTTTTTTTAATGAACGCGCTATTTTTCCCTGTACCAAAGCCGAAACTAAATAAACAACTTTTCTTTCTAATATGGAATGTCAGATGGTGAGTCATACTCTCGGAAATAGCTTTTCCCCCTTTCTCTACATTAAAATAACCTTTGGTGTGCACGAAGAGTACAGACAGGTGCCCATCGTTCTATTGGTCAAAGAATTGCGAAAGCAGTAGAAAATTCTGCTACATTCGGCATTCTTTTCCTCCCACCCAAGTACTACAGACGTTTGAATTTCTATCAAGATCTTAAAAATTTGCATTCTCGTTCTGCTTGGTCAGTTCATATTCGTGTTTATTATGATCGTTATGCTTATATTATGAGCATATGTATGAATGTTTATAATAACATAGTTGCAGTAACTGCTGAAGTATAGTAAACTTCCAAAAGTGGTTGTGTTTTAATACAGATTAGCTTTCTAAGGAATAATATTCGGAATGGCTTAAATAAAGGGAAAGTATCGAATAGTCAAAATAATTTCATTTTTTGGCCAAACATTATACAGTATGGAGGTTGGGAGGTTCTGCTCCTTTCTCCACAAAATCTCAAATATTGAAACCGTTACAGTTTCGCAGCAAAACAAGCAACGGTCTTTTTTAGGGGGGTTGGGGTCACTTTTCCAATCTGGGTTGCATAAGGACTAAAAGTTTCTGCGGTCTACTAACCCAAGCGAAGAATGATTCTATTCCGGAAATTGAACGCAGTCCTGTTCTGAAAATGTAGAAAGAAAAATACCCCAGATTGGCCAAGTCTCTTTCTTTTCTTTATTTTGTTCTTTATTCTTCTGAATACTGGCAGCTGTTGATTCCGATTGTGTAATATCATGTACGGAAGAATTACGGCCCACGTATTGCACAGTAACGTTTGCGATATTTTGCAGAGATAATGAATTTTGATGTTCAGTCTGAGATTTGTTTATGAACACTTAAAGGATTGTTTTACTGTGTTTGCTAAGCAGAATATTTTTCAGTTCCATTAGGTCTATTTTTATATGATGCACATATTGAAATGTCAAAAGCATTTATTTAGCCAAAAAATCTTAAAGAACAGCTACAATCTACCCCTCCTTGCTCACTCACACACACACATCCGCTCCTTCCAGTTACGCTTGACTGTCCGGAATATTTGGCAGTTTCCGAGTATACGGGTTAGGTTAAGCTCTTACTGTTAAAAGGATGACTGCAGGAAGTGCAATTTTCCCGTCTTCTGATTTCAGAAATGTTCCTCTTTTTTACTTAAATTACTTTGCTTGCAATATCTGTTAAGAGAAAACTGATATATGTACAATGAAAATTTAGAAAATGTTTAGAATTTAGATTTAAATTATTTCAATATGAGTGGAAAAATAAATTGTATTTATTATTAGGTTCCAAGCAAATACAATAAATATGCCTTATTTATTTTCTCTATTTTGAACTGAAATTTCATCATTAAATCTTGTAATATAGTTTAGTTCTCCATAGTTTTTTTTTTCTCTCATTGTAAACTAGTTCTGTAAATTGAACTATTATTTAAAATTAAAAACAAAAAAAAAGTAATTATTTTCCATGGTTGAGGGAATGCTTATTCTCTCTTAATAAGTACTTCATTTCTCATATTTTAAATTACAAGTCTAATTTTTAAAGTTATGCAGTTGTGTATGACGAAATTAGACAGGACCTTATTTTTTTAACTAAAATGTGGCTATGAACCCTGTGTAATAACAACTGAAAATCAACACTCGTGAACAAAAATTACAGTTTTTGCATTTTTTTCTCCAACTTCTATATAAGTATTCATTTCTATAAAATAAAAGTGGTAGCTATTGTTTTTGCATATTTTCTTAAACTTTGTTATTGTCATGCATATGAACTGTGAATTTAAATGTTACTGACATTTTTGTAATGGTGAGCTTTGAAAAGCATGCTGTTCCTTAACTTTTGGAGGGCAGTGTATTTACCTCTGAATTAAAAGAAAACTTTAAAATGTGTAATAAAAATAAAATTCTAAAATGCTATAATCAACTAATTAAGAGGCTGAAAACATTATTATGTTACCAATTCCATAGATATTCTTGTTTTACTATAAATGCTTTCATAAAGAAATGGCTGTAATATATCTTGATTAATTTTGTAAATTTAAAAATTTATTTTCTCTCAACACTTTATACCTGAGCTATCAAAAATATAGATCAGGTTTCCATCTTATCTAATTTATGTGAATTTTTTTATTCTGGAAAAGAGAGATGAGTTTAAATTCTTTCTTGCTTGTATGCGAATTGAAATCTGCAATAGCAGTTTTATGCCATTTTGAATTTTATTTTAAGGTTACCATGGAAGAATCTATGATAGTGGGAGCATTGGAAACATTAAATGAAGAAGCACTTGAAGATGCACTTGAGGAGAAAAGTTTGTTGAACAGAAAACCATCTGCTCCTGTTATTGCTGTTGCAAACCCGTTAAGTCCCATACTTTCAGATGCAGAAGAATTGGTACCAGATGATAAATTAGATGTTGAGCGCATGCCAAATGTTGCCAGCACACCATCTGATGTGGATATCTTGTATTTAAGAAGTCTTCAGAGTTCTCCTATGTTGCGTGTGAGGTAATGTAAATACATTTGTAATTATGATTCATATGCGACTTAAAGGGTGAGAGCAATCTATTCATATGAGTACTAGTATATCAGTATACATTTCTATATGTACAGCAATGGGAGTTATTTTGAACTATCCGATATTAGATAAATATATTTTTCTCCAATGATCAAACATTTGCTTATTAAGCATTTGTCATAAATGGCTGCATCTATTAGTCATTTTGCTGTCTCTTCAGTGAGAATATTACCCAAAATGTATCATACACACTGTTGGGAATGGCATCACTGCGCCAACAAATCAAAGGCCAGATAGAGGCTGACGTCATGGGACGCCAGAGAAGGACGAGTAGTTGCGGTTGAGATAGTTAAGGACGATGTTTGCATGATATAGCTAGATAGATTGTTTGCATGAACTGAATGGAAATGTCTAAGAACTTCCTTTACCACAAAATAAATTGAAAATGGAGCTTACACAACTGAAAACTGAATGGAAATGTCTAAGAACTTCCTTTACCACATGTTCAAACAAAATTGATGCAGAACTGGAATCAGATATTCACAATTTAAAGCTACTTTCAGTTCTGGAACTACAGCGTAAAGACAAGTTTAATTGACTTGAAATTTGCCAAAAGGAAGTAACATCGATAATTCTTCAATCTGAAGATGCTGAAAAGCTATATGAAGATTTTACTTCATCTGACCCTTATAGAAATAAATATTTTGAACTGTGTTCTCAAATCGAAAAGCGGTTGAAGAATCCTACCAACTGAATTACCAGAGAAGTGAAAATTTAAACTGCCGAAGATCAAACTACAGAAATTGAATGGCTAAGCAAAAAAATTTTTGACGTTTTGGAGCCAGTTCACGAAGATCCAAAGATTCCAGATGATGATAAATTCCAGTACCTTCTGCAAGCAGTTGTTCCTCAGTCCAGAGCCGCACGAGTAATGGAGAGCTTTCTGGCAACAGCAAATCTGAAAGCAATCGCCAAGCTTCGAGAGAGCTTTGGAAGAGAAAACTTGTACAGATATACGTCAGAGATCTTCATGGTTATGCGTAATGCAAGCAGTAGATGTGTAAAGATGGATCTTCCTACTCTCTAGGATGATTTAGAAACCAAGATTATAACTTTAGAATGTCTTGAAAGAACACAGAAGTATGGGGATTTCTTAACGCCTTAAGTTGAATCCTGCCTTCCTGAAAAAGTATTAATTGCTTGGGAGAGAAACAGAAATTTAAAGAAGCACCTCAACCTGATGACCAATGCCTTGAAAATTTGATGAATTTTCTGAAACAAGAAGTGAAAGGAGAAGAAATAGTCATGTTAGTCTGCACTGGGTTTGGTTATAATCATATTAAGAAAAAGGATACACTAAATAAAAATGTAGAATCCGCCCCCGCATCTGTGCCAGTAAGTACATCAAAATGAGAGCCCAGGTAAGTGCAATTTTAACTGTCTCTTTTGTGAAAAACGGCACCCAACTAAAGAATGTTTTTTCTGCTAGAAACATGACGTTAAAAGCTAAGAAAAATATATTAATTAAAAAAGGTGCCTGTTTGGATGTTTCAGATTGGGACACACTTGTAAAATATGTCGAGTAAAAAATTCTTGCATGTACTGTAATAAAAATCACCATTTTTTAATGTGTCCCAATCGCCAAGAAAAAAGGTGCAAATGAAAAGTCTAAAAGTGACATAACTGAAACCAGTATATTAACTAATAACTGTAGAATAGAAAATGTTTATTTAATGACTCAAATAGCTAAAATTAAATTTAAGAATGTTGAGCTTAAAGTACGCAGTTACTGGATACAGCTTCTCAGCATTCGTACCTCAGTAAAAAATTAGTAGGGAATTTAAATTTAAAACTGTTAAAGCAAATTAAATTGAAGCATTCGTTATTCAGGAGAGAAATGCAAGTGCAGATTCACGTTTATAATTTGCTCATTTCGGCAATTAGATGAAACTTTCTCCTTTCAAATTGAAGCACTATCAGAGAGCAAAATTTGTGGCACGGTGCCAAAAGTGAACGATAGTAAAATTCTTAATGAACTGAAAGATAGAGGCGTCAGTTTGTCTGATTTGGGTTCTGTTCGGAGTCAGGATTGTTTTTGATTGGGACTTGTTTGCGACATGTGTTAACTGGGAAGCATGAGTCATTTGGAAATAGTAATGATGATAGTGTTTTTGAATGCAATTTTGTTGTATGTTAGTAATTATTCGATAAAAGATTTATTGTCTTTAGAATCCATAGGTATTTCAAATCCCATTGAAAATAATAGAAAGAATTTAGAACATTCTAGAGTTTTAGAAGAGTTTAAAAATAATGTGAAAATTCTTTCGGACGGTAGATATAAACTTTGTTTACCTTTTAAATTTGATATGGCCAATTTGCGGACAAATAAAGATTTAACTTGGAAGCAGCATAAAAGATATGCCAGTGAGCACAAGATAAAGCATTTTTAGAAGAATATACTATACTTTTCCAGGAATGGGAAAAATTGAATATAATTGAAAAGGTAATTGATAATATTGACACGGGGCATTTTTTACCTCATGAAGATAATGTTGAAGCTAATGATGATGATGTCGATGATGATCCAGTCGTGAAGAATAATGAAGAAACTGAGCAAAATCAATTGAATCAATTTGAACAAGGATGTGCTGATCAAGCAAACGAGAAAACACCTGCTAAAAGTGCACAAACTAACAAAGAACAGAAACATAATTCAAGGAAAATACTTATGTCTGACATTCCAGCTGACACTACGATTTCTCAGATTGCAGAACTTTTTCCAAAAGCATCTCAGATAACTCTGAATTTATCACCTGTGCATCCAAACGCTTCCATCAGTTACATACAGGGAAAAGATGCAGTTAAAGCTTTTAAGCCAACAAAGAATGCTGAAATATCTCGAAGAAAAATTACTGTTTCATATTCTTTAGCTGTTTCATGCCCAAAGAAATGCCAGAAAAAAGCTTGCAAATACAAACTTGGAGATCAAATGCCAATCCAACTTGGACTTAGACTTCGTCCCAAATTCTTCAGTCCTTATGAAACAACAAAAGTTCATCCCTCTGATTGTTACGAAGTACAAAAGATACACCATGAAGGCACCATTATCCTGTCAACCTCTGCTGATCAGATAAACTGGTGGTGCACATTCGTCACCTGGACATTGATTTTTGTTTTCACTTTTTCTGGTGGTTTTTTCTGTTAAGATGCCACTAAGATTGAACTTGATAGACTTGAATGTTTGAGTAGCTATACAGCAACTCAGGAGGGGGGAGGATATTGGGAATGGCATCACTACACCATGAATCAAAGGCCAGATAGAGACTGACGTCGTGAGACGCCAGAGAAGGACGAGTAGTTGTGGTTGAGATAGCTAAGGACGATGTTTACATGATGTAGCTAGATAGATATTTCTTATTCATTTAACTAGTACAAATGTGTAAATAAACCTTTTTGCTTAAGTTTAAAATATTTGAAGTGCTCCATTTACAATAAGATTGCTGTTAATTCATCAGGTAGATGACTTATGAATTCCTTCTAAGCTAGCCATTGTTCCGTTACGCATTACATGACAGACACCAATATTATTACATTTGAAGGAATGGGAATAAATTACTACTAACATTCACATTTTCTCTGGAATTTAAATATGGGCTGAATAAGAAGCAAATGGTTCTACTAATCATTATACTGAATATGGCAGTAGATAAATATTAATACTTAATTCTTTTCTTCATCTGAAATGGTCAGTTTCTCTTAGAAAATGCTTCCCTTAAACAGATAGCCCTATAGTGCTTTGCTAATCAGTTAAACTAACAAACAAGCATATTCACTGAGATGCATAAGGTCAGTTCCATTTTCAATATTATCGGTAATCATTGTATCAGTATGACTTTACTGCAAGGTAATTAGATATTTAGAAAACTGTTATTACAATATATGGAATAATAACTATTTTATCAGTATCTTGTTATGAAAACACTGTATTTAATGGGTTTTATCATAACAAAAGTTGATCTTTTTGTCATTTTTTTCAACTAAATTTGTTTTATAATTTCCTATAAACCTTGATTGTAACATATTAAAAAAATATTAACCACTGTCTGTAATGTTTTGAGATTACTTGAAACAATTACTGTCATATAGGATTTAATTACAGCATTTTTTCCACTAACAATTTAGTACTGTCTTGGTATTAGGATAAATAATATTTCAACTACACATTACAAATTTGGGCAAGAAATCACCAAAACTTTGTGATATTTACTAAGCAGCGTTGCATATAAAAAAAATTAAGAGCATGTTCCAATAAGTGATTTTTGATTATGATAGAAGTTGGTTTTTAATCAATGCAAAACCAAATCACTTTTCTGTTTATATACAGCATGTACTTTTTTGTGCAAAACTGAGCACTAATGCTTGTTCTACAATTTTATATCATGTATATGTTTATTGCTATGAATATTTTAATATCCTTTTTATTTATAGAGTTTACTGTTGAAAACAAATCACCAGATATTTAAAGCTCACTAACTTTTTTGTTCTACTTGGCTCTGTTCTATTTAAATTTTTGTAACATAATGAAAGTCTTAAATAAGATTTGTATTTTTTTCAGTGCTATATCATTAAGTGATTCCATGACAGATATAGAAACCTCATCTCTTGGAAAATCTCAAAATATTTCAACAAATATGGAAAGTGCTGCAGTATCATATACTAGAACTAAAAGTGATGAGTATGATTCTGCTTCAGTTACATCAAGCCCTTCTCGGAAACGTGATGCTGATAAAGTAAAATCTAAAAATGCTGTTCAAAGACCATCATCTCTGGTGTATGATTCAGTAAAACTCACTTCTGTACCTAGCAGTGTAAAAGGTGAAACTTCTTCAAAATCTAAAGGTAGGAAAATCCAAGAGAAAAGCAACTCTTTTAATCATTCTACAAATAAGATAAAGCATATACGAAAAAAATCTACATCCAAATCTGAATCTTCAGATAGTTCAACTGAAACAGAAGATAAGGTACGGTGTACATCCCAAAAAACCTTACCGACTCCAGTGTCAGATGCAGATGGATTCTATTCTGATGATGAACATACGCCTCTGGTTTCTCCTTTCCACTTGAGCCGCTCTAGTCATTATAATTTGCAGTCTTCAAAACTAGAAAAAGAAAATACTCCAGAGAAATCTATTCCTAAGCAAGGAAAATCAGATTCTGGGCCTCACAGAAAAATAAGGAAACCACTAGAAAGACAGTTTTCAATTGACAGCAATCTTTGTGATCATTCAAGGCCACCGCCATCTTCTACATCAATGGTGGAAATTTCGACACCTCATAGCACAGCACAGTATGTTCCAGTATTACCAGTGTACGGGCAAGATGTTTCAGATTCACCATCACCTGAAATGTATCAAGTTGCATCTGTTCTAGAGAGCCAAGTTCATAATGAAACTGTTCTTTGAACTTTACTGTAAAAACTCAACTTAAAAAATTAAATGTGATCTCACTACAGTGTCACAGGGTAGCAATATGCATTTCCTCTATGTTTATAATAATTTTTTCTAGTATTTTCTATGTTATTAGTTAATTTGTAAATGCATTTTTTTCATGTTAGTGACTTGCTATGTTTATTGCATGCTCTTTGTTTACTAAAGGTCAGCATTAACATCATGCATCTATTTAGATTGTGCTTTTAGTCATTTATTGGTTAAATATGATTACACTAGTCATTAATTCAAGAGCATAGTGCATACTAATTTATTTAAATTTTCAGGTTTTACAGCATCGTTAAATTCAAAACAATAAATCAATAAATGTGCATAAAATGTTTGTCTCAAAATACTAAGTTTTCTGTTTAGTCAAGATTTTTATCAATTTCAAAATATATATTCATAAATATGAAATAAAACTAAGTATTTTTCTTTCATATATTTTAATTACATTGCTCTATGTATAATATAAAATCATTCTATTTGGAAAAGGTGTAGTTTTTGTTCTGATATAATAAATTTAATTGCATTATTTTGTAAATTTATCCAAAATTCTGTCTTAAAATAGTAATTTTAAAGGTTTTCTTCAGCATATTAAAAAATTTAATTGTATGATTGTGTTAACTTCATTTTAAAATATCTTGCATACTTACATGTATTTTATATCTCTAAAACATCAAAGTAAAATATTAAATTCAGTAAATGCATTGTCTGCTCTACATTAAATTTTCCCCTTAATACAGATATTGAATAAAAATATATTTAAATTTCTCAACATTTTAATATTAGCAAAATATCAAAAAATTTTTTTAATCAATTTAATATGAAAATATAGCATTCACTTGTATATTTCTATAAAATTTTATATTATCTTACGTGTTACTTTCTGAACTTATTCCTTGCTTAAATTAACCATCTTAAATTTAAAAAATTTATGTAGTAAATAATACTTTTGTCTGAAATATTTAGTATGAAAATTTAGTAAATAATACTATTGTCTGCTCTCGTATTTGAATTTTAACAATGCAATTTCTTTCTTTTTCTACTCATTACTGTATGCCTTTAAGTGTATTGGAGACTTTTAGATTAAACTTTGCCAAAAATTTAAATACATGGCAAAGAATGTGTTAATTTTATGTGCAAATGTTTTTTCTATCAATTTATCATTCTTTACAATTTAGTTTTTAATAAGCCAAAAAAAATCATAATTATATATTAACTCTGATTAACTTTTCGTTTTTCACATTTTTATTGGTCTTTTCAGAAATTTCATTATGAATATAAAATTGCAGGTTATAAAAATGTTGGTCCATTATGTTATAACCTTTTAAAATACCTATATAACTTCTGTAAAATATGCCCCTCCCTGTTCATAATATGGCTTTTTTGCTTTACTTTTTTAGCCCTTCAACTGAAATGAAAAAGTTGCATTTATATGGTATCTTCATTCATAATAGAAAAAGAATAACAAATATTGCTGCATAGATTTATTTAGATTCTTATTACCTTATACTAATATGAAATATACCATATGAAACTCATTTGAAAAAGAAAAAAAAAAAAACTTATGTATGAAAAACTTGTACTATATGAAACTAATTTGAAAAAACAAAATCATAATAATCACTTATCTGTTTATTAACACTCAATTTTTATTTACTCTTGATGGAAGCTTTTGCTTTTCTTGAAGCTGTTTGTTTCATTCTTTCTTTTTTGCAAAAATACATATCTAATGTACAAGAGTAGTATAAAAATAAAACGACAGCAATAACTCTATATACTAAAATTTTTGTCATTTGCAGTAGTAAATTTAATATGTGCGAGATATTGTTTTATGTGCAATAGAAAAATTGCTTCTGAATGAATGAATGACTGCAGTATGACACAGGTAGTGATAAAATGTTTTTCATAGTTTCTAATTTTCTTTGCTACTGAAATATATTGAAAAAGAAATAATTCAGTTTTATAGCTGAATAGTAAGTCTTTATCAATAAACTCGAAAGCAATTGCTGTCATTATTAATATATCTCAATTCTTGTATCCCCTCATGGCAATCATGATGATCAATAAGGTATCAAGTTTTGTGTATTTTAAATCATGTGTATGTAATCAATCATTGTAATGTACATTATGAGATATTTTATTAAGTAATTGAAAAATTACCAATTAAGTAAAAAATATTCATATGAGAAAAAATTATCAACAAATTCTGAAAAAAAAAATTATTTGGTTGTGTATTTGTGTTATTTTTTTAACCATATGATTTTAGCAATAAATATACTTTATACATAATTACAAAAAAAATTATGTAGATGATAAAAATAAAGGTTACAACACGAATGTTTTAGAGAAATTTAAAAGTGTATTTTATATTCTTTTTTTTGGTTTTGTACATTTTCCTTAGAATTATTTTTTATAATATAAAATTTCATCATAACTTTAGGTAATTTCATTTATTCAAAGTGGAAAAGAAGCAATTATTTTATTTATTTTTTTTGTTTTATATGGACATATATATATATATATATATATATATATATGTGTGTGTGTGGGGTGTATGTATATTGCTCAGGAACGTACTTCATTTTGAAGAAATTCTATAAAGATTGTATGCAAAAATTTATTTTCTCCTGCTGGGAATATTAACAATTATATATACTACGGTAACATTTTTTTTTTAATATTTGGTTGTAAAATGTTTAATAAATTTTATTCTTTTATTATTTTCTTAATAAATAAGGCATTTATACTTTAAAGATTTTTTTTCAACATTTTGTGAAGGATTTATATGCAACAGCGATTTAACAAGACCAAATCATGCTTGCGTAAGTGAAAGTGTAGAATTTTAATGCATTTTATTTCGATTTATTTTATAGAATGTAATATATATATATATATAGGTTGTATGAATGTATTATGTTGTAGATTCTAGAAAATAAATGTTTAAATTAGTTAATAAAGAATGTCTATACCTTTATGGACTTAAAATTTGTGTACATAGTTAAGAAATGTATAGAAATAATTCTATAAAATGCATTAATTAAAATAAGTTACTGATAAAAAAAAAAGACTTTTACTGTTTTGTTTAACTAAAATAAATTATTTGAAAGATTACAATATAGACAAATATAGCCAATGTAAGTTAAATGAAGCAATTTTGTATACAAAGAATAAATTCATTTCAAATATTTAAATATTTTTCGCCTCAATAAGACAAATTTAAGCTCTATATAATATTTAAAAATTTTTTAATAGAGTAAGGATTCCAGATCATGACCTGAAAACACAAATATGGTAAAATTTAATTGATGAGTTACACACAGTAAATCATTACCAATATTAAGTTAGCGATATACTTTCTCTCTTTCAGATTATGAAAGTAAAAGGTTCTGACATTTTCATTTAGTCTCAACAGGCTCACCAGCAATAAAGTCTATGAACACTGGTAATTCGATCTGGGATCAAATCCCATTGAACGGTAGGCTACACGGTTCGTTTTCCTCATGTGTAACAGGGCTACAAGCCAGTTTCCCTTAAAAAATCTTCTATGAAGGCATCCCTCATGGCAGATAACCCTCATGTTGCTTTAACTTAATCAGTTAACCTAACTTAACCAACAGGTAATTGAAAATAAAAGTATCGTTCAATATAGTACTTATAATATATATATATACGTTCAATATAGTTCAATATAGTCAATAGAGCTGATTTTCTGCAGGGGGGGGGGAATAGTTTTTTTCAGTGTTGGTGCTAATCATTTAAAGCTGGCAGAAATTATGAAAAACATTTTAATGTACTATATAATTAAAAATATATTTTAAATATTTGCTTGCTTACTACTATTTTATTAATGGTTTAATTGAAGTCACAGATGTAAAGAAAGTCAATAAATGGTTATAGTGATTCAAGATAATGACGTATATCATATACATGGTGTGCAATGCCAAATATAGTAAGAATGTATTTTTATTCTATAAATTTGAGATCTGATAAAAGACGTAAAGCGTGTTAAAAGCAAGCAGCAATATCACAATCAGAGTGCAACTCTCCCGATTTAGGGGGAAACTCCCGATTTTCGACCGCTCTCCCGCCAACCCGATTTACAATATATTTCTCCCGACTTTTTCTTAATATTTCTCACGATTTTTATGGAACTTGGCTTAATACTTCGTTATATGAACAAAAAAAAAAAAAAAAGTGATTTTGGACGTCTGAAAGCAACTGAATTTTCTCTAGATTATATCTAAAATCAAAACCTTGCGAATCAGATGAGAATTTCTGCTTTGTGAGTGACAGCATACGTATCCAGAAACGTCGTTCTCCAGTTCTCCAATGGGCATCGAGCTCCACTGCGTGTCATCTGGCATATATTAGCCAATGAGCACAAAGCAAGCTCAAGGCCGTTGGCCGTTATTTGGATGTTCTTTCGTTATTTCGTTCATCTTGTCCTGAGTTGTGTGAGTACACGTGCCTTTCGGGAAATAGTTTTAGAAATTATCGTCTTTTGATATGTCTGCGAGAAAGGTGAAATACTCGTGCACGTTTCAAAAATCGTACACAGTTGACTTTCCTTCCATTATTTCTTCAAGGAAATGTAATAAATTTGCGATGTGTACCATCTGTCGTTGCGATTTTTCGATTTCGCATGGTGGAAGGGCAGATGTTCTCAAACATGTGCGTACACAAAAACACAAGGACAACATGAGTTGTTTTGAAAAAAAAAAAACGAAAAATTAAATTTTTCTTCGGAAACAAAAGACCAAAAAGTGATTAATGCAGAATGTCTGTTCTCTGCCTTTTTACTGGAGCACAACCTGCCACTGAATGCATCGGATCACGCTGCAGCTTTATTTAGAAAAATGTTTCCCGATAGTGAAATCGCTAAGAAATACTCAAGTGCAAGGACCAAAACAGATGTGCAATTGTTAAAGAAATGGGTTTGAAAAATAAATCTTCAGTTTTTGATTGCATTAAAACAGCTCCGTTATGCCTCTCTACGGATGGAAGCAATAATACCAATTCAAAACTG